ACTGTTCACTGTTTTTCTTTGTTCGAGCTTTAAGTTCGTTGTACCTTGAGGTCTGGAATTCTCTTCTGATTAAGGCCTTCATTGTGTGGAAAGACATTTCTAATAGTGTAATATCTGCTATTTTTGCCATATTGCTATTTTATATCATGGTCATAGTAATTTGTCAATTACTACCTAAATAAGTGAGCAGGAAGATTCCAGAAGGGTGAATTGGAGGTTAACACGTTTGAATGCAAAGCTAATAATGGGGAGAGAAATTAAGTTTCTCACCATGAGAGCTAAATAATGTTCTTCACCTTCCAAAACGTCTTGAAAGACTACATAAGTACTGATTTAAACAATTAGAGTCCTCGGGAAATCGAAACAAATACAAATTACTTCTCAAAAGCATTTTTGTTTAAATTTCAGATGTTTATCTGCCTGAAGGGAGACCAAAAACTCCGTGTTTTCGCATACCCATCAAAATACGCCATAATAGAAAAGAACGCGCCTTTAGAGACAATGACCATTAGCAAAGAGAAGGCCTCCGATTTTCGACAAACTAGCCAAGTAGCACTAGTCACCGTTGGTCCAAAGGGGACTCAGAAATTCATGTGCTCTAAGGAGGGTTACATGGACGTGGCCAATTACTTTATCTGCTCTCCGTGTCCTATGGGAATTAGGATGCAACAAATTGCCTCCTGGTATACCGTTAGGACGGTTAACAGAACCACTAAAGATACCCCACAGGAAGAAGGCTGTGCGAAGGAATATCAAAGAAAGGATATTTTCGGAGATATTTGTAAGTTTGTTTCAAATATCAAAGAAAGGATATTTTCGGAGATATTTGTAAGTTTGTTTCATGAATTAACCTTTTGCGAAGTAAACCATATGTATATGAAAGCCTCTCTAAATGTGCAAGACATTCAGGTCTACGTGCTATTAAACACAAGGATGCTAGTAAGAACTTTTAAGTAATGATGATATTGATTAAATCAATCTAAATAAACTAGAATAGTACTTTTAATTAGGAGTGTCAAATTGAAATATCATCAAACAGACGTAATCATCAATCTGATTAACAGTTTATCAACCTCTTTTAATTATTAATAGATAAAAAACGTCTTTCCAATTTATTCAAATTTTTAAGAAATAGTTTTAACTAATTTTCTCTCCCGTTCTATCAACTTTATGCAGATTGTAGAAATTAAAATGCGAGTGGCTTCTTGTTGTAATCATAGCAAAATAGGGCAAAGAAGACCGTATTACATATTCGAATATTACAAAATAATTAATTAATATTAATTGATATAATTATCGGATCAAGACATGCAGAACTTAAAAATGTCCTGTTTAAAACCATCGACACCGAGTGGAAGATTTGATTCAAACATTAGTTTTGGCATTTCAATGAATATATATTCCACCAATTGAAGGTGAGACCATGAGTGTTGTAAAAATTGACTAACTTCTCAATTCACAATGTATCTGTTACAGCTGATGTGTCGTCCTCAGACGAAACGGTGAAGAGTTTGCCTAAGAAGAAGAAGAAGAAGCAGGAAAAGAGTGCCCTTTTAGAAAGCAGTTCTACCTCTTCCTCTAAATCATCGTCATCCAGTTTTACGATATCAAAAATTATAAATCAATGTTTGGATACCATCTACGGCGACGCTCGTTCGTTCATGATTTTAATAATTTAATTTTTAATTTTCCATCAAAAGACGGTTTTAAAACTCTCAATTGATCGTTATCGGGTTTATGAAAAGGAGAGAAAGTGTCAACTCCTTATCTTTTCACGCAAATACGTAAAATGGCAATTTTCATACTGGGGCATGTTACTCTCTGCAGTCGATGCCACGCAAATAAGTCTTGACTCTGTAATCTCTGCAATCTCTTTGGCTTAATCTATTAGCATGAAAGTGATCTCGAAGTTGGCTAGTCTTCTTCGACACCATCGAGGAAGCATAGGATATGGCGTGAATAGGCCGGCCTAAAAGCAATAAGGTACAATGAAGGATTTGTTAATCAGTGCAGTGTCAATTGTTCGATGGTTGAGTAGGCGATCTCAGCACTTGTGAACCCAGGCAGCCAATAATTGACCATGCATTGTGTGAGATATGAAACTCGCGAGTTTCTCCCCAGTGTAATAAAAATATTCAAAAATGCTTCATACGAAACAGGGTTGAATAGGCGTCTCATTGTTGTGCAGAGAACACTGGGTAAAAGCTGAGAATGTGAATAGGATAGGAAGATAATTGAAATTAAATTTCACCCAGACTGTGTACTTCTGATTACTATTATTGATCAATGGGATATGAAACTGGCAATCGTCAGATAGAAGCAAGGAATGAAGTAAGAATAGCACTTTATTTGAACAGCAAAACTGTGTTCGTACTGGCATTTGAGATGTGAGTGATTGGGAAATGTTCGATAATTTAAAGTGAGGATCCACTTATCGGTTCTTTCGACCATTTTGCAACAGATTTGAATTGTGATAATTTAGTTTATCTAGAATTTCCCACGAAAGTCTACTTTGTACTAATTTTTCCAATACCCATTTTCAGCCCTTACGTTCCATGCTAGTTTCATGATTACGATAACGAAAACTCATTTCAATGTCATCTTGGTAAATGCACATCTTCTTAAGGTTAAAAGCGCAGCATCGCTGCTAGCTACTGTACTAATTGTTTCGTTAAAGATTTAACTTATTTTTCTAGCCATTGAAGTTTCTTCTGACGAATCGGATAAGCCAAAAGAAAAACTTTACGCGAGGAAAAGAAAGCCATCACCAATTGATTTCTTTACTTTAAGGAAAAGGGTTAGGAAATCGAGTGAGAAAACAACAGATTCCAGTAAAAGACCATCTTTGATGCCGTTATGCTCAATTACAAACATAAAGAAGGAGAACGAATCGATTGAAGGTGCAAGTACCAGTAAGGTTGCTTGCTTAGAAGGAAGTAAGCGCAAATCTTTGACTCCGATATGCTCAAATGAAGGAAATAAAATGAAAGTGAGCAAATCGACTGAAAAAGCATTGCCTCCATCAGAAACTAAGGGATTCAGGCCATCGATTAAATTAAAACCAATCACCACTAAGAGTAATGCCTTAGAAAGATGTTTGGCCAGTTTCATGACTCCTATATGCCCAGATGAAGAAAATCCCAATAAAAAGGAAAAATCAAACGAAGACTCGAATACTACTCCATCGCCTAAAAGAGATAGTCCAGGAGATCCTCTTAAAGAACAGAACTAGGAAACATAGAAAACGAGCAAGTGTGGAACTATGAATCAGTTATTCATGATTATTTTCCCTTTGTGTTTGAGCAAAACCTCATGTGTTTGCTGACAAATTTGCACGTAGCGAATTTGAATTAAAAATATTTTGAATTCACCTTAATACAATGATATCTGATTTAAAATAACCTCTAATGCAATTTTGTATGCCATTGCCAGGTTAATTGGTATTCAAAAGCTTTTAAGCTTGCGAAAATTGAAATGGTATCACGACTGCCTACTTAATTAATTTCAGTACAAAGAATACGGAAACGTGTCATCGACGAATCAGATCAGGGAATCTAATTTTAACTTAATTCATACCCATCTTCCCCTCCATTTTTACATAAGTTACCTTCAAGCTTGCATAGATCACACCAGCGAAATGAATGAATGGGTGAAATTCGAGCTGTTCATTCTGAGACAAAGCATGCATTCGAAAACACATCGACCCACGATATGTCGCTATTCAGAGAAGCGAGTTTTTAGTTGGTGCTGTGATAATATAAAAAGTATAGAAAATGTTTAATAATTTTAGTAACTCTACTTCTTCAGTTGGACGAATGTGCAACTTAGTTATTTTTCAAAGATATTGAGAAGAGATGTAGCAAAATTTATAGCTAACATTGAGGATAATTTTTAAGTAGGCGGTGCTTAAAAAACCCTTCCCTTTCATATGACTCAAGAAAAACGGAAATTGGGCACTTAAAGAAGTGGAAATAGGGAATGAGTTATAATTCTTCACAAATAAGCATACAGCCAGTAGATTCGTATTTCACTGTTCTCATGCACTCTTTAAGAAATGAAATAAGGCATCTCTAGCTGTTTTGGCCATGAGAGACCAGTTGAAACAAGATAAAGTTGGCGTCATTACTACCCAAGGGTTTCGCTTATAAAACCTAAAAACAATAAATGAAACTTTTGAGAAAGAGAACTAAAGATTCCTAAGTAAAGAAGGACTTACCACGTCCTTGTTCCGCGAAAGCTTAACCCCAAGATTAGCCTCTTCCTCGCATATGTATTTTCAAGGTCATAAAGAAGACGGTTTACGACAAACAACATACAAAAAGGTACCTTGTGGTCTCTTTTAAAGTAAACCCGCATTCTGCAACTGAAACTCACCCAGCACCTTCAGAGATATATGTTTACTGCCCATTATATTGGCCTTAACTATCGATAAAGACGTGATAGTTAGCTAGTTAGGGAAAGGAATATTTGCTGGAGTAGTTTCTATCAGCGACATGGAATCACAAATTACCCTTATTGGACTAAATTACTCAGTGGGGTCGGCCCGCCAACATTACTAGATTTGCATCGGTGGCCTAAAATCTGGATATACAAACGAACACGATGACCTAAACAGCACCTCTATGAATTTGTTTACAAAATTTAGCATTATACGACTTTTCAAACCAATTGGGGACAAAATTGAATAACTCCTACTTAGGAAAGAGGTACCAGACACCCATCTTGGGAGCCCCTCTTGGAGGAAATTTCGAACTATGCCACTTCCTTTATTAATTAGACTTATCAGCTGCGGTTGGTTATTCCGATTACTGCGTGTGTGTACCTGTGTGTATCCAATAGAGAAGCACCACCAACGTTAACAATCTACTTCTTTTAAAAACACGAACACACACAAACGTAGTAAATATGTTTCGTGTGGCGCTTAATAGGTTCCTTTTCATCGGACAACCAATCAAGACACAAAGCTGTAGACACATAGCCAAATCATTTATTAATCCCCCACATCACGATAAAAGATCAACGGGAAGAGGGAACAAATTGATAGAAGGAAGTACAATTTGAAATCGATTGGCTCATTTTAGGTTTTAGAGTTACGAGTGTATAGATTCAGTGCATGCGATATTATGCGGCCGACGTCTGTATAGGGATAATTCTAGAGCCAGGAAAGAGAAAAAAATTCATAGGGCACTTTTAGACCAAATTAAAAACACGCATTATGGAATTAAATCACTTACTTGTAAAAGTCGAACAGCTTCAGGGAAGTCGCAAGTAAATAACTCCTCCCTTATCAAACTGAAATTGAATATTGGGTATTACTTAGGGGTTGGGATATACTACTTATAAGGAGGATTTAAGTGGCTTACATGAGCATTGAACAGCATATGTACAGGAGCAGATCGAAACGATGCTTATCTGCAAGGATACTGTCCCAAAGGATTAGAACGTCTAAAAAAACAAGAAGAAAAGCGAATTGAAAGTAGTGGAAAGCTAAATCAGCTCCAATATACAACCAAAAAAAGGAAAAATTAAAGACGATACGAAAATAAAAGATACCAATGGATTAAATTTGAAAAAAACATAGGTCAGATAAGTAGCGTCTTTTAAATATAGCCAATTAATGCAAAAATTCATAAAATTTGAAAGATGTATGGACGATGGGCCAAGAAACACAGAGTACAAAGGGGGGTGGGGGTGGGGGTAGGGGGGAGAGGGAAGGAATCACCTAGATACAGATAATTATAGCAAGTTTAAAACATGTCCAACTCCTCACTAAACTATAAATTCTAGCGGTCTTGCTTAAAACGGACAGTTATTTCAACAAATCAAGGTCATACCAATAGCCAACAGCCCAAACCCC